TTTCTCCCTCATCAATAAGAGCCACTACACCAAGGACTTTAACCTGCAACAAAACCATGATGAGAAAAGGAAAAGTTGAGAGCCATTGGCTTCCATCTTTTCCTTTTAAAAAATGGCTATTCCTACCTGGATAACAGCTCCTCGTTTCTGCACCTTGGATCCAATATCTACTATGTCAATCGGGTCATTGTCACCAACGGCTTTGGTTTCGGGCACTTCATGTCCAGGATCTTCCCAGGTCTATAAATGGCTTTGTTCCACATTTGAGCCGATTAAGATGCTGTACTCACCTGTGGAATGGCTCCATAATTCCAGATGTAACCCTTATGCGGGAAAATATTATGCACAAATCGAGGAAGACCTTTCTTTACGTCTTGCTTTATTGGAGTCATTGCCTCTTTGGTAGACATCTACGACACAGTTTATGAGAAGATATAATTCATTTTTTATAGCAACCTCCATCTTGGCATTCGTCCAACGCGGAATTTCAACAATCATATTGAAGATCTTTTTACTCTCGTCAGCGTACATTGGAATGTCATGCCAAGGAGATAAAACCCCATCGGGGCCCTCTGAAAATGTTAGGTTTCAAATGGACTGCTCCAAACAAGTCTCATCCAGACTTACTTATAAAAACTCGATAATCAAGTCCATATAAGGATCCCCGTTCGACTGTCTCATACTTGACTGCGTCACCACCTGACATTTTCGATTTCGGCTGAATCTCTTCGGTGCCAATTGCCCTCGCTGATCCGGGGGCTCTGGAAGAGATTAGGTGAATTATTGTATTCTTCTGAGTTTGCGCCTCAGTTCCCAGTAGATCTCAAAACAGGAGAATCACAAGCTACGACATTAGTCCACCTGAAACTCACCCCAACAAGATAACACCTAATTCTAGCAGAATATGGGGTACAGACACTTGCATTGAGATAAGAAGTGAGGAACACAGGGAGTAGAAGGGGACTTATATTTACTTCGCAAGGTTGTACAAACATATGATGAGCAATGGCGAACATTGGTTACTTAGCGCGATACATTTGGTTGCGAGTCACGATAATCCTATGATGACTGGTCTCGAATCGACCCTCGATCAGGACGAGAATTTGAAACGTAAGAAAATTTCTAGTTTCATGAAATTCCGAGATGCGGCAGCTCGTTCTTTATTAATGTGAATGGTATTCAAGTACTATCTCCTATCTCCACTGTATCAGAAATGTCGCAGATCTCGATGTCATGCTTGGAAAGTTATTTGACATATTTAGGTGCATTGGGACCCATTTTGACACAGCAGCTACAGCCCACCCAGACTGAGAAGCGAGGCGACTTGCTGCATCTTCGTTCTGTAGCAAAATCGCTTCGGAATCCATCTTTTGCAGCGGGACTTGGATAATAAACTACCAGATATTTCTGCCGTAAAATAGATATGGTGCCTTCAATCAAGCAATTTCCTTGAATGTTCATCTTGATACAACGTTGCAGAGATGGAAGTTTCAAAGATAGAGAATTTTAGCATAAAAGAGCTTATAAGGGCGACAGTTAATGGAAAGACTGGGATGATGATACTTCGCAAACTGCTGCAACTACACCAAAACATATGCTTAAAAAACAAGCAAGTCGATCTATATAGCAGCAATAGCAAAAGAGCTAAGCAGGAAATGATCAGAACTTAACCCAGCCATTCC